CAGACTAAGGTACCTTTCTAGGGAGGGGCAGGTGCTGCCCTGGAGCCCCCATGGTTGCCATCCATCCTCACACACAGTTCTGGCGCAAGAGCTGAACTTCTTCCAGCCTCTTTTAGAACAGTCTTTCCTGAAGCTGCAGATAAAGAACTAGCTACAAAGATGGCAAATTCAGTCTTTATAAAAGAAAATATTTGCTGCAGTGGCTCATGCCTGTAAACCCAGCACTTTGGAAGGCTGAGGCAGGAGGATTACTTGAGGCCAGGAGTTTGAGAGACCACCCTGGGTAACATAGCAAGACCCTATCTCTTAAAAAAAAAATAGTGGAGCATGGTGGTGCAGCCGTAGTCCCCCTAGGTTGAAGTGGAGGATTGCTTGAGCCCAGGAGTTTGAGGCTGCAGTGAGCCATGATCACATCATTGCCTGGAAAACAGAGTGAGACCCTGTCAATAAAATAATAAATAAAATGTTTATAAAACCTAATTGTTCCACAAGAGGAAACTGGTTAAGTAAGTTTCACAGTTTTATGACAAAATATGTGATTAAAATTAATTTTCTTCTCCAAAAATATTTAATGATATGCAGAGCAGAACATATTCTCTTGCATATCAAGGTTGTATAGATGACCTCACCTGGTTTGGTGTCTTCCCACAGCCTGTCCTGGGGGCACAGAGAGGCCCTGTGGTGGCTACGGGCAGTGTGAAGGGGAAGGGACACGAGGAGGCAGCGGGCACTGTGACTGCCAAGCAGGCTATGGGGGTGAGGCCTGTGGCCAGTGTGGCCTTGGCTACTTTGAGGCAGAACGCAACGCCAGCCATCTGGTATGTTCGGGTAGGTAGCCAAAATGTGTGGCACTGGGCCAGGGAAGATGGGGCACCTGGCTGCTGATCCTCATGCTGACTCCTTTCCGCCCAGCTTGTTTTGGCCCTTGTGCCCGATGCTCAGGACCTGAGGAATCAAACTGTTTGCAATGCATGAAGGGCTGGGCCCTGCATCACCTCAAGTGTGTGGGTAAGTGGGGCCCTAGCTAGGTCTGGGGAAGATGGGCAGGGGCCTGGGCTTGGTCCCTTCTTCTCTGCATTTGTTGAATACAGGCCTGGGCTAGCTTAGGCCTTCATAGAGATCTCAGCCTTGCTGGGAAGGCATAAGAGTAACCAGATAGTTACAGTCCAGTACACAGGTACTGTGCAGTACAGCCCCTGTGTACAGTGAGAGATACCTCTGATCTAGTTCAGTGGAAGCGGTGATGGGGAATCAGGAAAGGCTTTTTGGATGAGGTGTTACTTTGGCTAAGACTTAAAAATTGAGGAAGGGTTGGCCAGAAGAATTAGGACTCTGAACTTTGGGTCAGGAAACCTGGGTTCAAGACTTGGTTTGGTCCCAGCCTAGCCACTCATATAGACTAGAGAAAAAGCTAAGCTGCTATAACAAAAATCCACAAAAGACAGTGGCTTAAAGAATATAGAGGTTGGCCAGGCGCAGTGGCTCACTCACGCCTGTAATCACAGCACTTTGGGAGGCCAAGGCGGGTGGATCACCTGAGATCAGGAGTTCGAGACCAGCCTGGCCAACATGGCAAAACCCTGTATCTACTAAAAATACAAAAATTAGCCAGGCATGGTGGCAGGCACCTCTAATCCCAGCTACTCAGGAGTCTGAAGCAGGAGAGCAGGAGAATCATTTGAACCCAGGAGGCAGAGGTTGCAGTGAGCTGAGATCCCAGCACTGCACTCTAGCGTGGGTGACAAGAGTGAAACTCCGTCTCAGAAAAAAAAAAAAAAGAATCTAGAGGGCAGAGGTTTATTTTTTCCCTCATATCTCAGTCCCAAAGTGAGTGGTCCAGGTTGGCAAGGAAGCTCTGCTAGTCACAGTCATTCCAGTACCCAGATCATTCCTGTAACTTACTGCGCAGTCATCCCCTGGCGTGTTATCTGCGTGGTTGAGGCTGAGTCCTGGGCATCTCCATGTCTCATGTCCCAGCACTCAGGAAGGGAAAGAAAGTGCATTGAGGAATCCAAACCCATTGTTTTAAGACCAAGCTAACAGTGGAGCACATCACTCCTGTTACATCCTGTTCTCTAGAACTCAATTACAGGGCCACACTTAGCTTCAAGACAGGTTAGAAAATGTGTTCCCTGGCTGGGCAGCCTGAAGTCCACCTGTATGTCTGCTTCTGTGTTGTTGGTAGACAGTGTGCAGTCTCTGCCATATTTAATCCCAGGCAAGACCATTCCCCAATGGCTCTGGCCCCAGCTTGCCTATTAAATAGGGATTGAAATTCTCACCCTGCTCACCTCTCTGCAGACATTGATGAATGTGGCACAGAACGAGCCAACTGTGGAGCCAATCAGTTCTGCGTGAACACTGAAGGCTCCTATGAGTGCCGAGGTCAGTGTCTACTTCTGCAAAGGAGGGGATGTGAGGAGGGGAGGAAGCCGCCGCGGCCCCACCTGTCCCTCCAAACCTTCCCCTTCTCAGGCTTCAGAGCACCCCCAGGCCTCTTCTGGAGCATGGTTTCCCTGGGCCTAGGAGCACATCTTACCCGCATCTCTCTCTCCTCTCTCCAGACTGTGCCAAGGCCTGCCTAGGTTGCATGGGGGCAGGGCCAGGCCGCTGTAAGAAGTGTAGCCCTGGCTACCAGCAGGTGGGCTCGAAGTGTCTTGGTAAGTCTCCTGTTGATGGGACACAGGCACCACCTGGGAGTGCCTCACCCAGCATGAATGGAGAGGGGGCTGGAATATGGGCAGGCAGGGGAAGGAAGGGTGGAATGTTGCCTGGGCAAGGGCAGAGGGGAGTGTTGAGAGGTGGGCAAGATGGAGTTGGGGTGCTGGGTGGGGGGCCCTGGCAGAACTCTGACCCCTCTCTCCCCACAAGATGTGGATGAGTGTGAGACCGAGGTGTGTCCAGGAGAGAATGAGCAGTGTGAAAACACCGAGGGCGGTTATCGCTGCATCTGTGCTGAGGGCTACAAGCAGATGGAGGGCATCTGTGTGAAGGAGCAGATCCCAGGTGAGCCCTGGGGCAGGAGATGGGGGAATCCTTATTCAAAGAGAAGGCAAGCAAGTCCCTGCCCCAGATAGCAGTGGCAACTCCAGGCCCTGCCCCACTCATGCTGCCACCCAGCCCCCCAGAGGCTGCAATGAGACCGGGTTCTACATCTGATCTCCATGTTGGCTCTCAGCAGCCTTATATCTTCCAGGGTACAAAGGGAATCAAATCAGTCTGCCTCCCTAACGTATTTCCTCATCTATCCAGCAGGACCAGTGTTTGCCCTGGCCTGCTGAGAGCTGTTCTAGGCCGGGGCTGTGGTGAGATGCAGGGTAATCACGATGGTGACAGGGACCATTTCCCCAACAGTCACTGTGTCAGATGCTGTTCCAGGTGCATTCCTCATCTTTTTTAACTCCTGAAACAACCTGATGCTGGAGGTTTTATTCTCATCCTCATTCTACATATGTAAAAACTAAGATGCAGAGAGATGAAGCTACTTTCCCAGGGCTATGTGGCAAGCAAGTTGCAGAGCTGGGATCCCAATCCAGACAGTCTGACCCTGAAGTGAAACTGATACAAGTAATTAATAAATGCTCTGATCCCAACTTGCCCACCACATAGCCTTGGCAAGTCCAACCCCCTTTATCTCTCTGAGCCTCACTTTCCAATTTAGTGAGACAGGGATGATAACTTCCCCTTGCAGAGTGGTTCTGAGCAGTAAATGTGTGCCTGGCTTGCTGGGCAGGCCTGGTGGCCATGATGATCAGGTGTGTGGGAGTCCTGGGGAGGCTCCAAGAACTGCCAGGAACAGGGGTTGGAGTGCCAGGCTGCGTCTCTCCCTCTTCTGCAGAGTCGGTGGGCTTCTTCTCAGAGATAACAGAGGACGAGCTGGTGGTGCTGCAGCAGATGTTCTTTGGTGTCATCATCTGTGCTCTGGCCACACTGGCTGCTAAGGGTGACTTGGTGTTCACCGCCATCTTCATTGGGGCTGTGGCGGCCATGACTGGCTACTGGTTGTCAGAGCGCAGTGACCGTGTGCTGGAGGGCTTCATCAAGGGCAGATAATCTCAGCCACCACCTATAGAATCTCCTCCCACCCATACTGCCCCCAGAGCTTGGGCTGCCCTCCTGCTGGACACTCAGGACAGCTTGGTTTATTTTTGAGAGGGGGGTAAGCACCCCTACCTGCCTTACAGAGCAACCCAGCTACCCATGCCTGGGCAGACAGGCCCCTAGGGTAAAAAGTAGCCCTGAAGGTGGATGCCATGAGCTCTTCACCTGGGGGGGACTGGCAGGCTTCACAATGTGTGAATTTCAAGTTTTTCCTTAATGGTGGCTTCTAGTGAGCTTTGGCCCCTGTTCAGGATGAGGGGGTCCTCTGAGAGGTGGGGCCATCATAGCCCCCTCCTGCCAGCTGCATGCTGCCAGCACTTGTTCTGTGTTCACCACATCCCTACCCCCATTGCCATTTATTTATTCATCTCAGGAAATAAAGAAAGGTCTTGGAAAGTGAAAAGACTTCAGTCTTACTACCACCCGCACCTCGGGGAAATTTCCTAGAATTCTGGGAAATTGAGGGAAATTGAGGGCTTCCCTGATGGCGAGTGGAGAAAAGAGAGCTTACCCCTGAAGTGGTGTTAGGAGAAGGAGGATAGAGGAACCAGCTTTAGGAGGGTTCCATGCCAGCTGTCATTTGACAAAGGACCCTGGAAAGATGACTTTTACCTCTGAACTTCACTCTTTCCTCAAATGGGCTTCATAATGCTTTCCAGTCAGATTTAAGGTAGAATTAAATGAGGTGATAAATGTGAAGACCTGGACAGTACACAGGAGATATTCAATAAAATTGTGGTCACCATTATGACCAAAGCCTCCAAGCCTCAAGCAACCTTTCCTTGAAGTCCTCCCCTCCCTCCAATACACAGGACTTAGAATGACCGGTAGGCGGGGCCTCCAATCTCTCCTTCCTCCTATGAGTACAGGATCCTGGCATGGCCAGAGGGAAGCATGAGCCAATTCCTAAGGGTTTATTTCTTTGGCACAAAGAGGACAGTCAATCTAGACAAGTGAGGCTTATCACTCCACATTGGAGAGTATGGGGCACCTGCTCCCTGTTCCTCATGCCCAAATCCATGCACATCCACCCTGTATTCCACATAGGACATGGCCTCTGTGCAAAATACTGGCTGAAAAAAAATTAGAAATATTAAAAACAAAAAATGGGGTGGGGTGGGTTCACACCTGGCTGTCCCTGGGAACTGTGGTCCAGTGGAGGACTGGGGATGCCTTTTATTTATTTATTTATTTATTTTGAGGCGGAGTCTCACGCTTGTCACCCAGGCTGGGGTGCAATGGCATGGTCTTGGCTGACTGCAACCTCTGCCTTTCAGGTTAAAGCAATTCTCCAGTCTCAGCCTCCCAAGTAGCTGGGACTACGCACATGCCACCACAGCCGGCTAATTATTTTTTTGTATTTTTAGTAGATAGGGGGTTTCACTATGTTGACCAGGCTGGTTTCGAACTCCTGACCTTGTGATCCGCCCGCCTCGGCCTCCCAAAGAGCTGGGATTACAGGCATGAGCCAGTGGGCCAGGCCAGGATGCCCATTTTTTAAAGGCTCAACTGTCTCAGTAGGCCATGCCTTGTGTGCATCGTCAGGGTCCTGGCCCTGCGTCAGGACCGTTCCTCAAAGCTCGATGGTATCACTGGAGGCGCTGCGGGATTCCCCGGGCTTGCCGCGCGGCGGGACATCTCCCTGGCCGCCCCCGGGCCGAGCGGCGGTAGAGTCAGGGACTGGGGTAGGGGCAGGCAGTAGCTGCACAGTGCTGGGTAACTCATCTAGGGGCAGACTGTCCACCGATGACAGCCCATGGCGCCAGGGGTTCCAACTGATCTTGAGTGAACCCCTGGAGAAGCTGTCCAGGGAGCTGCCAGAAGCCGCCGCGGCCGCCCCGTCGGGCTCATCCACTACGTGCCGTGGGACCGGCCCGCGCACGCGCATATCACTGAGCGACCTGCAGCGGCCGCGGAGCGTGGAGCCCGCGTCGTCGAACTCGGCTTTGGGGTGGCTGCCCCGGCGCAGCCGCAGAGCACCTCCAGGCGGCGGGGAGGCCAGGCCGCGGAGGCCGCAGCGCTGGAACACACTGTCTCGCACCAGGTGCTCGCGGAAAAGTGCGGCGTCGATGCTGCGGCTAAGGTTGATGGGCGAGGGCGGCCGCAGATCCAGCTCGCTCAGCGATGGCACCGGACCTACACCGTTGCAGGACAGTCCTGGGCCACCCTGGGGTCCGCGACCCAACGACGCAGCCGAGCCCCAGGCGCCTGAACTGGGTGTGGCCAGCTGCCCACTCTCCGCCGGGTTGCGGATGAGGCTCTTGCTGATGTCCAAGCTGCCTGCACCAATGCCGCTGGGCCCCGCGTAGCAGTTATTGGGACGTTCCGGCACCTCGCTCTTTCCCGACGGCGCCGGGCACGCCAGACGCATCAGCTTAGCCCAGCAAGCGTGCTCCGTGGGCGGCCTGGGTCTCGCGGCAGCCACAGCGGCCAGCGCCAAGGTGAGCGCCCATGTCAGCTCCAGGAGGCGCAGCCAGAAGTGGACACCCCACCAGGCCCACGAGAAGCGGCCCACGCGGCCTGGGCCCGGGTACAGCCAGAGCGCGGCCGCCAGCTGCAAGCCGCTGGCCAGCAGCCCCAGCGCTCCCGCTACGGCCAACAGCCGAGGGCCAGGGCTGACATCCCAGCCCCGCGGCCCGTCCAGCAGGCGGCGACGGCACAGGCAGAGCGTGCCCAGAGCCACGGCCGCGCCCCAGGCGCACGACAAGCCCTGCGTCAGGAGGTTGAGTGCAGACCATGGGGACAGCAGGTCTGTTGCGAGCAAACCCACACCATGCACCAACGCCACTGCTCCCAGCAGGAGTGGGTTTTGCAGCGGTGGCGGCAGCCCCACGCCCAGGCCGAGCAGCGTCAGGGCGGCCAGCGCTGTGAGCAGCAAGGGGAAGGGCAGGTTGTAGAGCACCAGGCCAGCGCGAACGCCCAGTCGCGCCTGCGAGCCGTAAGGGTCGGTCAGCATGTAGGCGGATCGCAGCCCCGAAGCCACCAACACCAGCACTGCTGTCACCAATGCCAGCCGGGGCCCTGACGGGGCGGCTGCCAGCGCAGCCAGCGCCAACATCGCGGGCAGCAGAAAGAGCACCCCCACCCCGTAGACGTGCAGCTCCCAGGAGAAGCTCAGCACCCGCCGCAGGGGTCCCCAGCGTAGCGGGGGTGCAGTGGCATTGGCTGGGGGACTGGAGGCAGGAGCTGAAGCCATGGAGCTGGCTGAAGGCTCCGGAGGGGGAGGTTGGCCCAGGGCTCGCTGCGTGGTGACTCGAATGAGGCCCCGGCGTGACGTAGAGGGGGCCTGGACTGGGGGTGCTGGGGGATGGCTTTGGGGGCGCCCCGGCCACTCCTCGGCTTCATCTGCAATGATAACAACATTAAAATAGCCCTTTGAAAAGTGCTTTTGATTTTCTATCATCCTCTAGTGTGGTTGGCAAGTCATTTAACTTTTCCAAGCAAATCTGCAAAATGGAGATAACAGCACCTGCCTCATTGGGTTGTGGAGAAGATGGAATGTTTAGCACGGTGCCCAACACCCAGTAAGTGTTAAATGGATGTCAGCTATCATTTTTATTTAATGCTGCTATCAGGGAAGTAGTACCCCAGCAGTTCAATACATGGGCTGCATATTAGAATAATCAGGAGACCAAGGAATAAGAATTTCTTGGGATATGGCTTAGGCATTCGAATTGTTTTTTTTCTTTTTTCTTTTCTTTTCTTTTTTTCCTTCTTTTTTTTGAGACAGGTTTTCATTCTGTCACCCAGGCCAGTGTGAAGTGGTGCAATGAAGGCTCACTATAGTCTTGATCTCTAGGTCAAGCGATCTCCCACCTCAGCCTCCGGAATAGCTGGGACTACAGGTACACACCACCACGCCCAACTAATTTTTTTTGTTTTTGTTCTAAACATATCCATGTCACATATTAGAACATTCTAATCCCAAAAGGGCAAATGACTTCTCCCAAAATCCCCAGTGATATGAGTTTATTATCCTAGGTTGTCTGAAGGAAGCCCTGGGAGACTCCTTTAAGCAGGTGATTGTCTCCATTCATTCCCCGCCCTCCACCTCCATACACCCCCAACAAAGCTTCTCAGTTACTAGACAGAACACTCCCCTCTCCCCATATGCCAGCCATGCCCTCACCTGGCTGCAGGGCCCCCATGGGGCTCTCTGTTCGGTTTGCAGCTGGGCCAGGGTCTGAGGGACCAGGGATGAGGGACTTGGGGGTGCCTGGGAGCTCTACAGCTCCTCTCACCCGCTGTGGGGAGATGGGCTCTGCTCCATTCATTGCTGCTATCTCTGAAATGACAAAGCAGTCATCACCGTACCTGACCCTCCTACAGTCCCCAAAACCTAATCCCTCAGGATTGAGGCACAATCACCCTCATTTGCCACAATGAGGAAAATGAGACCTAGAGGGACCAAGGGTCAAACAGAACTGAGGCATCCAGTTGCCCCCAGAACATCATTCAGCACCTGCACTGATACCCACCTGGCTTGGACTGCCCATCAGGAGCCTCTGAGGCAGGAGGAGCCGTGGGCTGGGGTCCTGGTGAATCCTTAACGTCAGGGAGGTCACCCTGCTTAGGCGGGGGACCTGGGGAGCTGACTTCCCAGGCCGCTTCAGCTCCAGCCCTCTTGGGGGTCTCGACTGGCAGCTCCTCAACAGGAGGAAGGCTTCTGGCCAATGCCAAGTCTGGCTGGCCCCCTGGCTCCTGTGAGTAGGCCACCTCAGCTGGGGATACCGAGCCAACATCAGGGCCTGCTGGATCCCGCTGGGTGAAGAAGGGGCCTTGACCTGCCTCCTGGAAGTCTGGGAAGTACTCTGCAAACCCACCCTGTCCTTCCAGCACTGGCCTCTTGACAGTGCCTGCGTGGGGAACAAGGGTGTGGGATGGGCCCTGGTAGTCTGAGGGAGAAGTAGGTGGGACCCAGCTCTTGGTTTTGGCCTTCAGACCCTCATCTCTAGGTGGCCGCTGTCCCTCTTGGCCTCCATGCTGCAGGGAGGGAGGAACTGTGGCTACCCTGAGTTGAAGTCTGGGGGTTGTGGGGATGAAAGTAAGATGAGGGGGACCCACTGGGTGGGGAGCCACTGCTTCTTGTTCCAGAAGCTCTTGTGAGTCCAGAGGTCCTGTCCAGCCATGGGAACTTGGCCCTGGAGCCATCTGGAGGTCATCAGTTACTGAGAGTTGTTCTCTCTGAGCTCCGGAGGCTGCTTTGGGCACAAACAGGGCTGGGCCAAGGGGAGAGGCCATAGGCTTCTCAGGCAACTCTGCAGCAGGGGCATGGTGGACATCAGAGTTCCTGTAACTCTCAGCTCTGCGGTTCTCCTGGAAGATGTCTAAGTCCTGGGGCTCTGAGCCCACAGAACCCTTGGGGTGGGCTCCGGGGATCGTAGGGGTTTCAGAGTTTTCAAGTGGCCTGGGAAAGCCCCTGCCCAGGGCAGGGCCAGTCCCCAGAAGCGGCAGCAGCAACAACAGCAGGAGGCCACATATACAGCCCCATGGGCTGGAGGCCATGGTCTACTCCGATGCCTGGGCCTAAAGCCCCCAACTTCCAGTCCTCACTGGATGAGCCTAAAAAAAAAACAGGGGGGATGACATGTGAGGGCTGAGGGTCTCCATGGCTTCCTCAAGGGGCTGGCAGGAAAGAAGAGCAACTCAAGGCAGCAACTTCTCTGCTTTTTAAAACTGCTGGCCGTGGCACTTGCCCTGCTTCAAAACCTTCAGCGGCCTCCATTTCCCTCAGGAGAGAACATAAGCTCCTCTCCTGGCCTGCCAAGACTCTGGCCACCATAGGCCATTCATCTGTCCTCCAACACCCACTGGACTGTGTGACTCCCAAGCCTTTGTGCTGCTGTTCTCTCAGCAAGGAATGCTCTCTCCCTTCTCCTTCACTTGCTGAAATCTTGTTCTTTTTTTCTTTTCTTTCTTTCTTTTTTTAGAGACAGAGTCTTGCTCTGTCCCTCAGGCTGAAGTGCAGTGTCATGATCTCGGCTCACTGCAACCTCTGCATCCCAGGTTCAAGTGATTCTCCTGCCTCAGCCTCCTGAGTAGCTGGGGCTACAGGTGTGTGCTACCACACCTGGCTAATTTTTATATTTTTAGTAGATATGGAGTTTCACCATGTTGGCCAGGCTGGTCTCGAACTCCTGACCTCAGGTGATCTGCCCATCTCAGCCTCCTAAAGTGCTGGGATTACAGGCATGAAGCACTGTGCCCAGCCTGAAATCCTATTCCTTAAAGCCCACTTCAAAAATGAGAGAGGTGGAGAGGGAGAGGAGGATGCATCTGCCTTTGGAGAGGGGCCTAAGTTTGAATCCCAATGTCTTCATTTCCTGGGGGAGTCATTTTACCTCTCTGCATTATAGTTTTTCCATCAGTAAAATGGGGATAACAAGCATCCCTAACTTGAGGAGTCTCTTACAAGACTTAAATAACAAAAAACTTATGGGCAAGGTCCATACCCAGTGCTTGAAAAGCATGAGAACCCTTTCACTTTTCCCTCTGTCCAGAAAGCTTTCTGTCTCTCCATTCCTCCTAATTCAAGTAATTTGAACACACACTATGTGCCAGGCCCTGAGAATGAAGCAGTGAACAAGACTGGCAATAATCTTATTACCCTCATGAACAGCATTCTAGGAGAGAGACAGACAATACATAATTTTAAATAAAATGTGCTATGAGGAAAATAAAATAGGGCTAAGAGATGTATGAGAGGCCATTTACACAGGGGGTATCAGGATGTCCTCTCTGAGGTGACATTTAAGCTAAATGCTGAATAAGAAGGAGTCAGCTGTTTGAAGATTTGGGGGAAAGGCATTTGTCAGAGGGAACAGAAAGGGCAGAGGCTCTGAGGTAGGAATGAGCTGGGTGAATTCGAGAAATAAGAACAGGAGTGTGGGCTAGGCATGGTGGCTCACACCTATGATCCCAGCACTTTGGGAGGCCAAGGCTGGTGGATCATTTGAGGCCAGGAGTTCAAGACCAGCCTGGACAACATGTCGAACACTCGTCTCTACTAAAAATACAAAAATTAGCCAGGTGCGGTGGCAGGTGCCTGTAGTCCCAGCTACTCGGGAGGCTGAGGCAGGAGAATGGCTTGAACCCAGGAGGCAGAGGTTGCAGTGAGCTAAGATTATGCCACTGCACTCCAGCCTGGGAGACAGAGTAAGACTCTGTCTAAAAAAAAAAAAAGAACAGGAGGAGTGTGGCTGAAGCACAGGAAATGAAAATCAGGAAGGCGGGAGCAAGGTCACAGGTGTCTTGTAGGCCTTGACACGGCACCTGAATTTTATTCCACATGCTACAGGCAGCTAGTGGGGATGGGAAGCACGGGGATGACAAAACCTTATTCGTGTTTTAAAAAGCAGAGAGAGGCTAGGTACTGTGGCTCACACCTGTAATCCCAACGCTTTGGGAGGCCGAGGCGGGTGGATTGTTTGAGTTCAGGAGTTCGAGACCAGTCTGTCCAACATGGTGAAACCCATCTCTACTAAAAATACAAACATTAGCCGAGTATGATGGTTCGGGCCTGTGATCCTGGCTACTTGGGAGGCTGAGGCAGGAGAATCACTTGAACCCAGGAGGTGGAGGTTACAGTGAGCCAAGACTGTACCACCATGCACTCCAACCTGGGCTGAACAGAGCAAGACTCCGTCTCAAAAACAAAAAAACAAAAAAGCCAAAAAAGCGGAGAGAGAGGCCAGTGTAAACACCCAGGTAAGACAGGATGGGGCTTGTTTCAGTTTGGCCATTCCTCTTTCCGCCTTCCTTCTCTTACCTTCCTGGGCACTTGTCACCCTAGCTTCATTCTATAATAATCTCCTGCCTCTTGTTTCAAACCTGCAGCCTCCAGTCTAGGTGGCTATCCCCCCAAATTTCCTGTTCCCGAGAGCCTCTTGTTGAGCCAGGGAGGCAGGAAGGGGCCCCACCACCAGGAGACGGTGCATGGAGGCTGCAAGAGCTGAAGCCTGCGTGTGTTTAGGGGAAGAGGTCCTGTTCTTTTCCTCTCTGGGAAGCAGGTGTCCCCAAAGCTTCCTGGCTCTTAACCTGTGGTGGCTCACAGACACCTTGAGAAGCCACTGAAAACCTCAGGTGCTCTCCCGGGGAAAAGATCCAGGCTCACTGAAAGTTGAGGACAATTTCAAGGAATTCAAAGATTTCTGAGGCCCATCCTCCAAACTCGAGTTTAGACTCTGTCTTAAAGCCTTGTAGTTCATTTCTCAAACACTCACGGAGCCCCATTGGCGGCTCCTGGTCTAGACTAGGTGCTGGAGGTCCAGAGACAGGGCTTAGCTCCAGGATTGGGAGTACGTAGGGGTGTGCTGAGAGGCCCCTAACACAGGTACTGGCTAAAAACAGTACTCCTGTGTTTAGCTCTCCCCTAGTTAGGCTCCTGTGCTAAGCTTAGCAACATGTCATTCCACCCCTCCCAATACGAGGTGTGGGAATAACTATTTCACAAGGGAAAGAAACTAGGGTTCAGAGAGGGTGAGCAACTCCCCCAAGGTCACACAGCCAGCTGAGTGGACGCAATCAGGGTTGTGATGCCCTCAGAGGCTCATCTTGTGCAGAGAGTCCAGAAATCGTTGCTGAGAAGACAGCTGAGTGGGACCTCTGAAGATAAACATGCAGTCTACCCACCACCGCCAACCGAAGAGATGTGGGCACCTGCGGACAAGGCGGGGGCTTGCCCAGCCCTGGACTCCCACTACTGGAGAGGCTGTGGGGGTGGGGGATCTCTCTACCGCAGGGACTGGGGAGAGGCCAGAATGGGGACAGGGCGAGGCCGCTGCAGGGGAGCCTCGGAGCTGGTCCGTCTCGGGTTACCTCTCCTCCTCCTCCTTCTCCTCCTCCGTCTCCTCTCTCCCTGGCTCCGCGCCTTCCCGCAGTGTCCAGGATGGGGGTGGGCGCCGTGTAGGCCTGGTCGCCCGCGCCCGCGAAGGGGGCAGCAGGCCACGCTCCCCGCCAGGGCCCCGCCATCGCCCCCCCTCCCTGGGCCAGCTCCTCACCTGCGCGCCGCAGCCCCCGCGTTCACCTTGCGCGCGTCCCTGCAGCCGCTCGCCGCGCCGCATCCTCCGAGATGCTCAGACTCGGCTAACAGAGCCCGGCGCTGCCGATCGCAAGCCCGCCCACAGGAGCGCAGCCCTGCTTAACTCTTTCCCCTTAGGGGTGGACTCTTCTCCCAGCCCAGACTTCCCCTCGCTCAGGGATTCTCAGGGCTCAGAGTGGAAGCGAGGTCACCTCTGAGGGATGTGGAAATGCCTTCTGCAGCATCCCTGAAAGCGAGGCAGCTAGCCTCTGCTTGCATACCTCATGGGACGGGGAGCTCACTTCCTCCTTATCTACATCCCTGTATCCTTTTAGGTAAATCCTACCTGCAGCTCGGCGTGTATCCTTCAGATCCTTTTCAATGCACAGTTACATATACATATTAAATAGAAATTACGTCATACTGTACACTTTTTTTTTAGACGGAGTCTTGCTCTGTTGCCCAGTCTGGAGCGCAGTGGCGTGATCTCGGCTCACTGCAACCTCCGCCTCCCAGGTTCAAGCGATTCTCCTGCCTCTGCCTCCCTAGTAGCTGGGATGATAGGCATGCACCACCACGCCCGGTTAACTTTTATATTTTTAGTAGAGGCGGGGTTTCACCTTGTTGGCCAGGCTGGTCTCCAGCTCCTGACCTCAGGTGATCAGCCTGCCTTGGCTCCCCAAAGTGTTGGGATTACAGGCGTGAGCCACCGTGCCCAGCCACTGTAATTTCCCTTTCTCTCTTTCACTTTACAATATATTCTGGCACATTTTTCATGTAAATATCTATAGATCTATCTCATTTCTTGTATCCACTGTTGAGAATCCCAGCATATGGTCAGCTAGTTCTTTATCCTGATCCCTGTGATTGGACACAGGTTGTTTCTAGCCTTTGACTAGCAGGGATAATGGAGCAGGGGCCATCCTTGCAGAGACATCATTGTGCCTGTGCACAAGTGCACCTACCAGGTAACTGCCTAGCTTAGGCATGGTAGTCAAATCTACAAGTCTGCACGTTTTCAGGGCTGGTAGACACTGTCAAAATGTTCCTGGTCTTTCTTTGAACATTTCTTGATATACTAAACATCCACCGCTAGGCTCAACTCATTAAGGGAAATCCACACAAGAAATATCTGTGATTATAAAAAATGAGGTAGGGCTGGGTGCAGTGGCTCACACCTGTAATCCCAGCACTTTGGGAGCCTAGAAAGGAGGATCGTTTTGAGCCCAGGAGTTCAAGACCAGCATGGGCAAGATGGTGAGATCTTTTTTAATTTTTAAAAACTAAAAAAAAAAAAAAAAAAAAAAAACTAGCCGGGCATGGTGGTGCATGACTGTAGTCCTACCTACTCCAGAGGCTGAGGCAGGAGAATCACTTGAGCCCAAGAGGTCAAGGCTGCAGTGAGCTGTGGTCACGGGAGTGTCACTGGAGTGCATTGACCACTCTGTCCATTGACCACAAGCCGTGTCACTGGAGTGCACTGACCACTGCCCTCCAGCCTGGGCAACAGAGCAAGACTCTGTCACAAAAAAGAAAAAAGAAAAAAAAGAAGAAAATTTGGCTTCTGTGATGGCTTATGGCTGTATTCCCAGCACTTTGGGAGGCCAAGGCTGGAGGATTGCTTGAGCCCAGGAGTTCGAGACCAGCCTGGGCAAAATGGCAAAACTCCATTTCTACCAAAAAAAAAATTAGCCAAGTGTGGTGGGTCCCAGCTACTCAGGAGGGTTAGGTGGGAGGATCACCTCAGGAGGCAGAGATTGCAGTGAGCCAAGATTGCACCACTGCACTCCAGCCTGGGTGACAGAAAGAGACCCTGTATCAAATAAAAACTTAAATTTAACTTAAAAAAAGAAAAAATTCTCTCCAGGTCTGAGCTAACATCTCCCTCCCAGTGGCTTTCTACCTCTGGCTCTCACAGCAAAGCGATACTCAGCCCCCAGTTGTGTCTGACGTGTTGCCGTTTGAAGACTATTCCATCCCTAAAGGCTGGTAAATGGTGGGGTCTGCATCCAGCTCTTTGACTCTGGGAGAGAGTGCAGGCCTTACCCATTTCACCACATCACCTGAGCAGCTCTGTTTTTCTTGTTGGAGCCTATTCAGAATTGTAAAGGCATCTCTCCTTTCTCTGGAGTCTTCTTTCTCCAGGACAAACCCTCCCAGTTTTTCAGCTGTTCCTTCCAAGACAGGTTTCTGGGTTCTTACCACGTGGGATCTCTCCTCTGTTTGCTTCTTATAAGCTCAACAATGTCCCCCTTAAAGTCAGACTCTTGGAAATGAACCTAGTTGGGAGTAAAAGCTGAACTTTCACCTCTCCTTTCCAGGATTCTACTCCATTCATGTGGCCTCACACTGAATTTCTAGCAGCAGTTTCACTTTGTTACCCAAGTGATTTAGCAGTATGGCCTTCCCATCTCTTCAGGTACAACTGGTTTATTGACTCTTAATGTAGGATTATACATGTCTGTTGCTTATCTTGTTAGATCTAGCCAGTTGTTCCAATCTTGTAGGAAGTGAACTGAATCCTGATTCTACGTATAATACCAAATTGACATTTTGGAGGGCTGTGCAATAACCATTTCCCTTCCTGACAGCATCCTAACGTCCTTTGGGGGACCTGTATCTTTTCCTCTGTGGGCAGTCTTGGCTGGAAGGCAGTCCTAGGGTACCCTACAGAAGCTAATGAGTCTGGATTCTTCTCACTTTTTCTTGTGAACTCTCTGGGAGCCTCCTTTGGATCTCCTCCACAGGCTCGGAGCTGGCTCAGTTCCCTTCCTCAGTTTCTCGTGAGGAGGGCGGGTGTGTGAGTGCCTGACCTCCCAGTCCATGCAGGGCCATCTGGCTGCTTGCTGGCTGCTGTCTATGGAACTAGGGGCCCCAATCTCATAGTGTTTCTAAACCATCAACCAGCAGGGGTTCTGAGATTCCAAACAAAGGCAAGAGAAATTAGGATCCCTTTGGCCAGAGGCCAAGGTGAAAGCTGATCCTATGAAAAGAGGAGACTGGCTGGGCTGAAGGTAAATGTAAGCGGGGAACACGAGGCGCAGGTGTGGATGGGGAGTATTTCAGCTCCAGATGGAGCTCCCAGCATCCTTCTGGAGACTGATACGGCGGGGATAAAAGATGACTCCATGTATACAAGGGGTGGTCAATATCTCCTGTTTACCAAGCACTTGGTCTGCCAAAAACTATGCTACACACCATTATTCTTTTTAAGTCCTCATGACAACCCTATGTGTTATGTTTTTCATTATACAACTGGCAAGCTGAAGCTCAGAGTTCAATCACTTGTTAAAGGTCATGCAGCAACTAAGAGGCCAAGCCACAGGTCTGACTTTAGAACTAGTGTTTTTTTTTGTTTGTTTGGTTTTTTTTGAGATGGAGTCTTGCTTTTGTATTTTAAGTAGAGACAGGGTTTTGCAATGTTGGCCAGGCTGGTCTCAAATTCTTGGCCTCATGTGATCTGCCCACCTTGACCTCCGAAAATGGTAGGATTGCAGGCATGAGCCACTGTGCCCGGCCAGAACAGGTGCTCTTAATAGTGATGACACCCTCCTACCCCTCTGAAACAACCTCGGAGAGGAAAGTGGGGGAGATGAAAACCTCAGGCCTTCCAGGTAGCCCTTACTGTATTAGGAGTTAATTGAGTCCATGAAACTAGGCCGTCCAGTTTGGATCTCTGTTGACTTCAAACCAACAGAGCTGGAAGTTGTTGTGACCTCCCAGGGAAAGAGACAGAAGGAAAAGGCAAAGAAGATGGGGCTGGCAATGGTGAAATCTCCTGCTCTGACAAAGCCCAGGACAGTTGGCTGGCATTTTCATTCTGGCCAGTGGCTCTGGCAGGCATGAGCAAATAAACAAAAGACAGAACAGGTAGAAGAGAGTACAGGCTGGCGAACCTTCTCTGTGCTCTGCCCACTGTCCTGAACTCTGGGGGTAAGGGAAGTTATACTCTTTTACTAAATTGGCCAAATTCGGCCTGAAGGGTTCCTGGAGTCAACCTATTCATTCTCACACTTTAGCTTCCACCAATACCAACTAAACAAACCTGATCTTCTTAAAGAGGTTTTTTGTTTGTTTGTTTTTGTTTTTGTTTGAGACAGACTGTGTCTCTTTTTACTCAGGCTGGAGTGCAGTGGCATGATCTCAGCTCACTGCAACCTCCGCCTCCAGGGTTCAAGCCATTTTCCTGACTCAGCCTCCCAAGTAGCTAGGATTACAGGCATGCACCACTATGCCCAGCTAATTTTTGTATTTTTAGTAGAGATGGGGTTTCACCATGTTGGCCAGGCTTGTCTCGAACTTGTGGCCTCAACTTCTGCCCTCCTTTGCCTCCCAAAGTGCTGGGATTACAGGCATGAGCCACCACACCTGGCCAAGAGTTGTTTTTTTGTGAAATCTGATGCCACTTTAAAATCAGCAGATCCTAATTCAAGGACATGCAAACAAAAACAGAAAAAAAAAAAAAAAAAAAAAAAAATCAGCAGATCCTTACCCCATTCCCTTTCACTCTCAATTCCCACTTTCTGGAAGTAATCATTTTCAACTCTTTCTGGTACTTCTGGCTATTTCTTCTGGTATTTATGACTATTTTCACGTCAGATTTATGCTGCTAATGTTAATTATTTTCAGTTTTGGGGGTTAATCTATTGACTACTATGAAGGTAATATGAAAATATAGCTCTTCTATTACTTTCCACACTTTTCTGTACTGTTTTTTGATATCATTAGTCTGCATTTACAATATGAGAACGGTAAAACAATTATTCACAGCTGGTTCAAGAAGTGTACTGTGAGTCTAAGAATTCCCTCCCTAGACATTCTGTTTCTCCTGCAGTAAGTACTACTTGGTTTTTCATTTGCTTAATTTTCTATACATCTGTCACTAATTCATTCCCCTTAATCTTTCTTTAAAGTGAAAAACAATCTGAAGATTTAATTTCCCATTCAGATAACATTTTCAAAGATTCACAGAATTCTACAGAGACAACAAACATGGTTTATTTGACAAATGAATGTCTTGAAAAAAAAAAAAGGGAGGGAGGGAAAACTGTTACATAAGAGATTTAAGAGACATAGCAACCAAATGCCACATGGGGGCCTCATGGGGAGCCTCATTCAAACAAATCCACTGGGGAAAGGACATTTTAAGACAATTAGAGAAATACGAACACAGGTTGGGTCTTAGAATATATTAAGGTATAAAGCATGCTTCTATCAGGTGAGATACAAACTGCTTATGGGTTATGTGTGTTATGCTATGGGTCTTGTGGGGTATGTGTAAAAAATTCCGTTATACCTACTATTTATGTGTGAAATGACATATTTGTGACTTACTTTTAAATATCCAACTCCCCTGCTCCC